GCATTAGTCAAGGTGAAAATTCTTGGCAAAGCTGTATTTATCACAAGTTCTTTTTCCATGCTGTAAAAGTTTCAGACAGAAATGGAAATAATATTTGAAATATAAGTCTGTGCAGTCAGGATAGAAAGCCTGCTCTTTAGAAACACACTTTGAGCCACCGAAGGAAGGGAGGTTGAAGTTGCGTTAATTAGGCTGCTTTTGTAAACACGTGACAGAAACCAAATTGAACTAGTTAAGTGAAAAGAAAAATCTTTGTAATGATGCCAGGGTATTTCACAAAATCCAGGCTTAAGTATGCAGCTGGAGATGTGGGACAGTTTGAAGCAGGGACTCAAAGAGTTTTGGGAACCTCTCCACCCATCAGCATTGTTCCACATATCACCCCTGAGATACATGATGAAATGCACGGTTGCTAAGACTCCTTAGTTTTGGCTCTCATAGGTATAGACTCTGAAAAGATCCTGCCTGAACCCTCAGGAAAGCAGCTCAATGACCAAGTTGAGTCAATGGCCAAGTTCCCTTTGGCCAGATCAATGTGACCAGGGGTCCCAGCAGAGCCACACAGGAATACAGTGCCCTAGATACAACTCTGTGAAGGCAGAGAGGAGTAGACTGGACAAGCCCTTTGGTGTCCACCACATAGAACAATTTCACAGTTATCAGAAGCAAAGGGCATAGTTTAAATTATGGGTAACTTGGGCTGGAGATAGAGAATGGGGACAACTGATCAAGAAAAGCCAAGCCAGGACTCAGCCAGAGACAGAGCCCAGCTCTCCCTGGCGGAGCCTTTACTATAAGCACTGAAAAACCGACTATGAAGCCTGAGGTTGTCTGTGTATTATTTATCATTTTGCTGCTCTGCCAGCTACAGTTAAATATTAATATGCTAAAAAATAAGTTTGTTTCATAGGGTAGTTTTAGTTTTTAACTAATCATAAATTAAAAAAAAACTTGCAGAAGAGAGCAAACAGATACCGAAAACAGTAAGAGGTTTAGAATCCAACAGGCCTGGCTTCCCAGAGCACCTCTATCACACATGGACTCTGACTACAGAGAAGCTTCTGACTGTCTCTGAGCCTCAGATGATCTATATGTTATTTTTTATCACAACATCCTGATCATGTATTTTATGTTGTTCAGTTTCAGCCATAATTGCTCATTTAGCACATATCTTTGATCCCTCACTCTGCACCATATACTGTTCTAGTGACCTTCAATACAGCATTCAAGAAAAGGAATATTTCTGCCCCCAATGAACTTACATTCTAGAAGAGAAAACAGTTAACAAACAAAATAAATATGCAACACTATAATGTGTTAAAACATAATCAATAAAAAGGATAAATTTAAAGCATAGAATTGGTGGCATTATTAGAAAATATGTATCTGTATACTTAACTGTCCATCTGCAAACTGAGGGCAGGTACAATGTCTGCTCCCACTGCTTATCCAGAACCTAGTGCCGTACGGGAGATGCTAAAGGACTTTTGTTGGAGTTGTGAAGGATAGAGGGAATAACATGAAAGTGACGAATCCCAACGCTTTAGAAGACATTTGCATTAATGTGTTCAGGCTGCCATAACAAAATACTATAGCCTGAGTGGCTTAAACAAAAGAAATTTGTTTTCTCACAATTCTGTAGACTAGAAATCCAAGATTGACAAATCTGTTTTCTTCCAAGGCCATTTCCCTTGGCTTGCAGATGGCTGCCTCCTTGCTGTGTCCTCATACTCCTCCATCCCTCTGCCTGTGTGGGTTTCTGGTGTCTCTCACTATGTGTCCAAATTTTCTCTCCTTATCAGGACACCAGTCATGTTGGATTAGGGCCCACCCAAAAGACCTCATTTTAACTTAATCAATTCTTTAAAGTCATTTTCAATTACAGTCACAGTTCGAGGTTCTTTGATTTAGAACTTTGGTGTATGATTGGGAAAGGTGGTACTGCAGACACAATTCAGCCCATTCATAGTAGGAATGCAAACATTTTCAATCCTTTGGTATTCGATACATTATTTTATTTGGTCTTCATCGTAACTTTTAACATAGCAAGACTTGTATTATCATTGTCTTGAATACACAGATAGGAAGACAGCGGGTAAGAGTAGGCAGGAGCATGTCTCCAAATCAAGTGTTTGATCATCCCCAAGATCACAATACCTCCTCAAGCTGTCACTTCCACTGTTCGATGAGATACAATTATGAGCCACCAAGGTCCAATTTGGGCAAAAAAGGACAGAACTGCGGTGGCACAACCACCCTGAACAATGTAGAAGAGTAATCTGTACTTCAGACAATTTAATGGCTAAAAAGAATAGAAAAAAAAGTGCCTTCAAATGTAGCTGAATACCTTGTCATCTGGGTTTTCTTGGTTATTTTTCACCAAGGCTGTTTAACCAAAGACATCCCTGACAGGTTTTATCCAGAAAACTCTAATTTAAAAAAGTGCTTGACATGACCATGGGCAATGCTCTTGAGATGTAGGCAGACCTGATAGCAATACATTCACCTTTTTTATAAAGTCCTGCTCTGGCTTTTTCTAAGTACAAATTGGATTCAGCCCTCTCACAGCCACCTAGCTGACTGGCCCAGAAAACACAACTCTGATTACTTCATAGCAGTATTCCCAGAGGTGCCTCGTCAGAGTGATCACAAAACCATCTGAAATCAAAGGGAAAGTCCTATCAAATGAACCACTGAAATGGTGGAACTTTTCAAGATTTACATAGCACAGTTTGTTGTAAAACTGAAGGAAAATAGTAACTTTGAAATGGGGATCCAGTGGCTATAGGCCCAGAGTGAGGGTCAGCTAAGGTGACTGGCCTTTGGTACCAGGATGCTGCTATGCTTTTAGGTTGAAAAGCAGCCCGGTGCCCTCTAAATTATGAAACAATGATGACTGCCAACACCTACCTTTAATTAAGTGCAGTCTTTCACTTTAGGCTGTGTCTCATTTCCTAGGTAATGGGTGTCAAAGAAAAGTTTATGGTGGACTGCACCCAGCTTACCATCAAGAGCAACGCCTTTTCATGTCCTCACTCCCGTCCCTGCGCCCTGCACCACACCCTAAGCTAACTATAATGCACTGAAAAGGAGGCTGATTGACCTTCAATTCAAATGTTGGACTGAACACACACAGTTGCCTCTAGTCTTCCCAAGACTCTATTGAAATAAAAAAATTCAGGAGTACAAAATGAATAAACATATAACAGCAAAGAGAATAAGAGTGAGGTGGTGATTATCAGTGAATCAATGGACTTCAGCAAATACATGAGAGAGGGAAAATGGAACAATATGTATGGCCTGTAACACAGCAATCACACTTCTGGAACATATCAGATGCATTCTCACTTAGGTGTGTAGGGGACATGTACAGTGATCTCTCACCTATTGTGGGAGTTACATTCCTGAGACCCCTGCGACAGGCGAAAATCTGTGAAGTAGCAGCGTTATATTTATCTTATTATTTATATATATTTTTAGGCTTTATAAACCCTTCCCACACTCCTATAAACCTTTCCCACTCTCTTATTAACCTTTCCCATACTCTTATAAACACCTCATATGCTCTTAAACACTTTCTACACTCTTAAACCTATGTAATTTTAACAACATATAAAATTGTATATGGGTGTTCACCTGTAAAGTATACAGTCACCCCTCACTATATCACAATTCACTTATTGTGGCTTCACTGTTTTTTAAAGCTGTGGTTTTTTTTAAACCGCGAATTTTTTAAAACCTGAGATACAGAGAAGCCGCAATAAGTGATCTGCAATATAGCAAGGAACGACTATATAGGGAAGGTCTTTGCCTATGCACACAGTGGTTTTTACAGTAGTGCAGCACAGGAAGAAATTTAAAGGAATGGATAATTAAAGAGGAATGAATGTATTCTATGGCATACTGTGCAGCAATAAGTAGAAAAATGAAAAACAAAATAAGTGAGAATTTAGTGAGAAAAGTAGAAACAGGATGAGAAAGCACAATATCATGTGTGTAAATTAAGGGCTCTAAAACACAACAAGTGCATATTATTTAAAAATTACATACATATTTTAAAGACATATCAATACATTACCTCAGGTACTTATGGGGAGGAGGTGGATGGAAAAAAATGAAAGTGGGAATTAGGAAAGAAGAGAAACAAATTTAACAATAGAGACTATCCATTTAAATTACTAATAACAATGTGCCCTGCACATGTTACCTAGGGTCCTGTCAAAAATACATTAGATAAAGTAAGTTGGCTACACAAGGGAAGGGGAAGCCACATTTCAGAATGCACTAGAAAGGAGCCAGTCTGGGCACTACAAATAACACCAAGACAACCCCACACATTCATATAAGAAGTTACTTGGACATGCACACTAACTTTTCATTATTAGCAAATCCAAACAATTTTACTTTTACTCCATGGTGCACATGTCACTTAGATTAAAAGTAAAAAATAAGAAAAGGTTTGTGGTACATTAAAAAAATTTCAACTTTCTTCCATTCTTGAAAAATGAGAAAACACAAATAGGAAGAGAATGCCTGAAGGAAATGTAGTTTGGCTTTAACATACAGAGTTCCTACCATCTTATTTATTCAAAAACTTGGCTTTCTTCTCTGTATGTAATAAAACCACCCAGAAAACAGAGAGGCTCTGAAAAGTGACAGCCACAGGGCAATTATTCAAGACACTTGGGTTTTTTAGGACTTGAGGGTTGGGGGGTCTTTCATTAACAAAAGTCAAGCCCACCAGCAATATGAACCTTCCACTATGTGAAAGGAAAACACCAATTACCCAAACCAGGCATTAAGTTGGAGAAAAAGCTAGAATGTCAGTGGAAAAACAACTTTATTGATTCCCCATGTTTGCCAGTGACATACCAGCAGCAGGTCTCATGATATTACACAGGAAGTCTAGCGCAGTCAGAGCATTTGCTTTGTTGCACACCCGTTGCAGCCAGACCTTCCTGTCTAGATGACGATACCGTCCGATCCCAGGAAAACAAAACAAAGGGGGGAAAGCCCAGCAGCTGCAAGTAATTTCTGTCCAGTCATCAGAACAACTTTCTGCTTTAATTGTAATTACTACACCAACGTTCAGAACTAACTGGGGAAATAACACAAGAACATTAACATGGACAATGCTGAAACAGTTGGTAGATTCTATGTGCACTGTAAGTTGAGTAAGAAAAGTAAGTGATTTTTGAGAAAAGTGCAGTTGTTTCACAGAACAAAGACAAAATGGGTAAGTCCTTAAATAACCTTTTCTTTCTTCTGTAGGTAATCACTGGGCACTATGTCAGGTGGCATTCAAGTATCATTTTTTTAAGTTCCTAGTTAAATTTTATTTAATATTTCCAAAAATAAGACTATTTACAACAAGAGAACTCAGTTTAGAACATAAAAATAGGAAATTAAAAACAACTAAAACAGTGTATGCAAATTAAGCAATCTTAAGGGTTAAATCTAAGTTGCTGATTCTCCATTTAACTTTGCAGGGGGGCCTTAGCATTCACAATGTATTTTTGCAATCTTTTAATTGTCATGAGGTATAAAGGGATGAGAGCAGAATTGAGGTCTAAAAAATATGACTTGTCATAAATTGTCATGAGGTATAAAGGGGTGAGAGCAGGGATGAGGTCTAAAAAATATTATTTTAACCCATGAATTGCTTTAGTTTTTATAAATGATAATACATACAATATTTTCCATATAAAAACTCTTTGTCTTAGTTCAAGTAGAGCATATTGAAGAAAATCAGTTTAAATACCTATGTTTATTATAAACATTTTTTATCATTTCAAGGGAAAAATTAGTTTCTTTGAATGGATATTTCTGAGATTAAGGTAAAAGAATGAATTCACTCTAATCAGGATTTCTGTCAGCATAACCTTGAGGATTTTTTCTTTTTTAGTTTGAGGTCCTGCCAGAACAAAATTAAATATGGTGGGATTTGTGGATTCAGTGGTGATTTTTTTCCTTGAAATTTGATCTTTTAGAGTCAAACCAAATGGAAAATCAGCAGCTTTCCAAAAACATAGGCACTTCTGTGTTGAAACATGATTCTCCAATTCAAAAGACAGATTAACTAGTAAAACTACTGTTTTAAAGCAGCTCAGATCTTGTCTCTGCTTTTTACTATACTGGTGACCCAGTCTTCCTTATTTTCAGGCAGCAGGACATCACTATTGATACCCAGCAACAGAGAGCCCTGTGGGTGCTGGCATTTAGATTATGACCAGAGTGGAGTAATCTCAAGGCCAGGATGGGAAGGCTGTTCATGTGAAGGGAATAGTCCTCACATTATGTATATAGTTATCAAAATAAATTAAATTCAGACCTTCTGCAACACTGGAAGATGTTTGATCACCAGGAAAGTCATAGCTCCAGTTAAGCAGAGGATGTCTAGGCAAACAATCTGTGTGAACAGCTCTTAGGATACTGTCTGAGAGGGAGGCTCTAGAGAATGGCTTTGGCTATCATGCCTTTCAAAGCTGCTTTATGCTGCTGATGCTGTGGATGTTGATGAAGCAGTCATTTTAATTCACCAACAATTTGAGGAGCACTAAAAACAAATCAATACTTTTTGGCTATTTTTATTAGCCATGATGTCTGAAACAGACCTCTTATCCTTAAACCTTACGATAACCTCTTGAGAGTAAGGATAGATGAGGCTCAGGCATTGCCTATAGTGAAAAATAGTGATGCTGAGACGGGCAGGAGAGAGACTGGGAGGGCGTGGACAAACACTCAGCAAACATTAAGGCACTGCTCTCCACACCAGCACAGAGAAACAGTTTCTTCTCTCAATGCAGCTCACATTCTAGGTGAGAGTGGTGGAGAAGAAACAACAAATAACTAAACAAGGTCATCTCAGATAGTGTCAATGCTATGAAACAAATTAAACAGATAATATGATGGCAAAGCCTTAGGGTAGTAGTAATTTGTCAAGTAGAGCAAGAAGCAGGGAGTGTAATAGGTGAGGGAGAGAATGGTACAGACAAGGCAGGCAGAGAGAAGGGGGCTATCTCAGGTGTCTCAATTTGGTCATTACTGTCATTTGGGGCCAGATAATTCTGTGTTTCAGGGGTGTTGTGACCTATAGACTGTTCCTGGGCACTTTCCAATAGATGCCAGTAGGAGACCTAGTTGTGGCAAGCAAAAATGTCTCCAGACATGACAAAATGTTCCCTGGGACATTTGAGAATCTCCAGTTGAGAGTCACTAGTTCTTGTAGGGCCTTAGAAGCAAAGGTAGCAGGCAAAATATTTAATAACCCACATGGCATGAGCATCAGCCAGTCAGGCTAGATTCTGTCTGTAAATAACCCACTAGGCTATACCAGTGCATCCTGGGTAAATATCAGACCTGTTATACCTCATGGTAAGTAATTTAGATTTTATTATGATTGTGATAGAAAACCATAGTACTGTTTTAAAAAAGAGTGAATGACATGATATCTTCCATGATTTCCAAAGGACCACCTTAGTGGTTAAGCACAGGATAGTTTTGGGGCAGGGCAGTATGAGAGGAGGGGAGACCGGTAGGAGGCTACTGAAGAAATGCTTGTGCAAGACAATGGTGACTTGGACTAGGGTCAGAACCATGGAGATCACAGTACATTCTGCAGTGGGGGCAACCAAAGAATCAAGTTCTAAAACTGTTTTGGCTTAACAATAGAGTGGATGGTGGTCATTCACTCAGATGAGAAAACTAGGGGAAAAACAGATTTTAGAAAGAAAAATCAAGAATTCTGTTTTAGGTATGTTAAGTTTCAGATACCTATGAAATATCTAAATGAAGTTACCTGACCTGTACCAGTGCAAATTGGATATATAAGTCTAGAGGTTTGTATAAATTTTATAATCACCAGCATATGATACAGAAACTACCAGAAATATCCAGAAGACAATGTTTATATAAACGATCAACACAAGAGAAGTCACCAACCATTTAAACAAGGTTTAAACCATTTAAGCCTGACCACTTGCTAAGGAATATATTTTATGGCCTTCCTCCCATAACTTCTGATTTCCTCCTTACATTTGACAAAGATCAGCCTCATTTAATTTCAGTTAATAGTCTACCCTTTGTACTTTGTTTTCTACTGAAAAATCTTAAGCAAATACCACTGTACATTTCTCAAGGTTTCCCTGATGAGGCAAAATTAGATGAAATCTATTAGGCACTGGAATGGGGAAGGGTCAGGGAGAGAAACTCATAGAGGATGTTCAGGTCACAATATGAGTCCTTATTCTTAATGCCAGATAGTCCAGGAACCCACATTAAATACCATCTGTTCTAATATTCAATACATTTTCATCAGATGTTTTATTTAGTATTATTAAATTGCTGATCATACTATTGGTTTTGGAGGACAAGTATTACTCCATTAGATTCAAACGTGGTTCTAACAGACATCAGCATACACTACTGTAATAATAAATAAAGACTTATAATTAAATAACACATTGTGATTTTTCAAAGCACTTCCTATGCTAACAAATTTTATTTTCACCATCATTTTGTGACATTGAAAAGGCAGATATTCATATACCTATTTTAAAATGAGAAAACTATTGTTCAATGAGATTAAATAATTTTCCCATGACCCTACAGTTGGTAAGTGCTAGAGGGGAAAAAAATGGAACACAAGTGTTTTGACAACTAATTCAGCACTGAAAGGGCACAAGGCTCTGTGCCAGTGCATCCCCCGGTGCAAGTCACCCTGCATGACACCAAAGGTGCACTCTTGTTTGACTTTCCACCTGAAGAGGATCTGTGGTGCTTCTTAGTTCAGGCCTATTTGCCTGTGCTCCTTCTCTGTAATCTAACTTTCCCATGCTTGATGGACTCATGTGGCTGCCTTCTGTATTAAACATGCTATTTTTCCTTGTTTCTCATCCTGTCTATACTAGCTGACATCTTCCTGAGATTTCTTTGCTGGCATTCTAGCTTTTCCCTGATTACTTCAGGCCTTTTATGACTGAAACAGTGGAACAGTCTGTAAACTTAAATTATATTCTTCTCCTTTTCCATGAATAGTGGGTTTACTCTAACTTTGTCTTTCACTATTAATTGTTTCCTTTTTTAACCTAAATTTTTCATTTGGCACTGATAGTATTTTGACTGATTTCAAAACTAACATATGATACTGTAGAAAATTATATAAATGTACAAAGAAGAAAATATAAATTACCATATTCCCATTAATCACATATCAGTACAATTAAATTGCTTGATTACTTTTGTTTTTTCTTCAACTGAATGCTTAAATAACAATTTAAAATTCTAGTTAATAATGAATTTTACTCAAAGTACAATTTTAGTCATGTTCCATAACCTTGGGGCAGAGTAGTAGACCATGAATTCAGAGAGGCCACATGACAGTGTATTTCATGTGTGGGCCACTGTGAGAACTTTGGCTTTTATTAGAGTGAAATAGAAGACCACTGGAGAGTTTTAGGCAGAGAAGTAACATAATTTAACTTAAAGGATCGATTAATTAAATTACAAAGTTAAAAGGCCACAGAAGAACAAAGAATTCTAAGAAAATTAATATGCAATTTAGCCTTCTCTGTTTAGTTTATGAGCCCTATGATTTAACAGAAACATATTTTATTATATATAATTGCAATAACGGAAGTCTAATGAATAGTTAAGTAAATATTCATTGTTACATTTTCATCTGATCCTAGCATTTTATATTTACAAAGTCTAGAATCCTGAATCTTAAATAATAACTAATAAATAACTGTTGGATTAAAAAAAAGGAAAGGGAGGAAGAGATTAAGAATGAGTGGAAAGAAGGGAAGGAGAAGACAGGAAAGCTATTTAGTATAGTAACTCCTATAAATAGGAAAATACACTGTTTAAGACAAACAATTAGGCTAATACATTTATTAATTCATTTCTTAATGTTTAAGGAATATATAATATGATGAGCTTACATTTCAAAAACAAAGAACTGAAAATCTTTTGTTTCTTAGGACTGATCTTAAAAACTTATTGAGTATATAAGTGCCTGTTCTTACTGTAAAATATTTTTTTGCCCTGTCTTTCTCAGTAATATGGATTTTTTTAAGAATAGGTATTCCTAACCCCTACCCTTTCACATACATGCACAAAGACAAATACTTGTGAAAAACTAAGATGTGCAAGAAGATGGACATACTTCTGAGTTTCTTCCCTTAATCAATGCAGACTAACAAAGCACTAAAATTTTCACGTTTGAGCTTGGTTTTGCTATCAGTATTTTAACAATCCCTGACTGACAATGGTTCTACTTATTATTTTTTTTTACTTTAAAATAATGCAGAAATGATGTGCATTCAGTAGAAACTACACTTTGAGCTTTGAATTTTGATCTTTTCCCAGACTAGTCATTGTTGGGTAACACTCTCTCTTGGTGATGCTGGACAGCGGTGGCCAGCTGTGGATCCCAGCCAGCCACGGATCACAGGGGTAAGCAATCAATGCTCTCCAGCATGCTGTGCTGCTGGCATTTTTCGGATACTGTGTTTGTGTTTTCCCATCCCATCATGTCTATAAAATCCCCATCTGTGTCTCCTGTTTCTAGTAAGAGGAAGGCAATTACTCTTGAGATGAAAAAAAGATAGTTGCCCAACTACAGGCTAATGTAAGTGTTCTGAGCACATTTAAGGCAGGCTAGGCTAAGCTATGAGGTTTGGTAGGTTAAGGGTATTAAATGCTTTTTCAACTTACGGTATTTTCAACCTATCATGTATTTATCAGGATATAACCCCACTGTTAGCTGAGGAAGCTCTGTATATTAAAGAGAGTTATTCTATGCACTTATGAAGTGCATGAAATCTGTTTCTCTTTTGTTGTATTTAGTAGCTCAAGCTATCATTGGGAAAGGCACTAGAGTGGCATATTCACTCTCCTGTGCAAAGCAAACCTGCTTCTAGCCCAAGCAGCTTCTACATCTTCATGATCTAAAACCACCAACAAGAAGACATACTTGAACTGAGGGTACAGCAAGAATGCATTTTTGTGTGAATCTCCACTTACCCTTTCATAAGATCTTGCACATCAAATGTATCCCATCATGTATCCCATCTACATGTCAAAGTTTTAATTTTTTAATACACAATTCCACCAGAGACTCCACAATGAGCTGTGCTCTTTTAGCCTTTCCTGCCAATGCCAGATAACAGATTGAGCAGCAACACTCATCTGACAGCTTTGTGATGAGCCTGGGAGGCCCGAATGGATACAGATTGCTCTGCCATCGCTGCACTATCGTCCCTGCTGTTCTAACTGTGAAATCCCCCTTTGTGGATTAAAGAGACAGTTATGATTAAATGCCTGGGCCACAGCTTTATTTTAATGATTTCTTTCTTCCCATGTACAAGACTGACTTGATTAGTAAGTCTCAGGCAGGCACCACATAATTTTCTGTTATCATGTAACACAGATTTACAAAAGAATATAAATTACTGGATTTGTTGTAGACTAGAGTGGTGTTATCTTTATCATTTCCTTAAATTCAATTATCCTCAGCTAGCCAAATTTATCTTGATTATACCTTGGTTAAGCAATCTGCACTTCTGATTGTCCATATACTTCCCTGAATTTTTACTCTGGGTACCAAAGAAGGATAACATTCTTTTTAGTCTATGACATGGAATCATGGTAAATTTTTATAAATATAGATTGAATAATGAATTTGTCACTTACTTCTCCAGAGGGTCATTTCAATCATCTTTTTTTCTTTTTCTTTTTTTATAGTTAAATATTTTTTATTAGCCAATGTTGAAACACTGCTTCTTTATCAAATTTCATTCATAAAATTTTTTCTTTTATTTATTTTTTGATGTATTTTATTGATTATGCTATTACAGTTGTCCCATTTCCCCCTTCCACTCCCCTCCACCCTATACACCCTCTCCCACCCACATTCCCCCCCTTTAGTTCATGTCCATGTGTCATAAGTTCTTTAGCTTCTACATTTCCCATTCTATTCTTACCCTCCCCCAATCTATTTTCAACCTACAATCTATGCTACTTATTCTCTGTACCTTTTCCCCCTTTCCTCCTCCCACTCCCCTGTTGCTAACCCTCCATGTGATCTCCCTTTCTGCAGTTCTGTTCCTGTTCTACTTGTTTCCTTAGTTTCTTTTGGTTTTGCTTTAGGTGTGGCTGTTAATAATTGTGAGTTTGCTGTCATTTTACTATACATGTTTTTTTTTAATCTTCTTTTCTTAGATAAGTCCCTTCAACATTTCATAAAATAAGGGCTTGGTGGTGATGAACTCCTTTAACTTGATCTTATCTGAGAAGCACTTTATCTGCCCTTCCATTCTAAATGAAAGCTTTGCTGGATAGAGCAATCTGGGATATAGGTCCTTGTCTTTCATGACTTGGAATACTTCTTTCCAGCTGCTTATTGCCTGTAAGGTCTCTTTTGAGAAATCAGCTGACAGTCTGATGGGAACTCCTTTGTAGGTTACTGACCCCTTATCTCTTGTTGCTTCTAGGATTCTTTCCTTCATTTTCACTTGGCTAATGTAATTATGATGTGCCTTGGTGTGTTTCTTCTTGGGTCCAACTTCTTTGGGACTCTCTGAGCTTCCTGGACTTCCTGGAAGTCTATTTCCTTTGCCAGAATAAGGAAGTTCTCCTTTATTATTTGTTCAAATACATTTTCAATCTGTTGCACTTCCTCTTCCCCTTCTGGTATCCCTATAATTTGGATGTTGGAACATTTAAAGATGTTCTGGAGGTTCCTAAGCTTCTCCTCATTTTTTTGAATTCTTATTTCTTCATTCCTTCCTGTTTGGTTGTTTCTTTCTTCCTCCTGGTCCACTGTATTGTTTTGAGTCCTAGTTTCCTTCCCATCACTGTTGGTTCCCTGTGCATTTTCCTTCATTTCCTTAATCATAACCTGCATTTGTTCATCTAATTTGTGACCAAAATCAACCATTCTGTAAGCTTCCTGATCACCAGTATTTTGAACTGTGCATCTGATAGGTTAGCTATCTCTTGGTCGCTTAAAAACATGAGTTCTGGGGCACTGATTTATTTTGTTTGAGCCATCTCTCTCTCTCTCTCTCTCTTTTTTTTTGGTCTAGTTACTCCTGTTACTATGAGGAGCGGAGCCTTAGGTGTTCACCAGGGCTGGGCACCCCAGTCACTAGATTGTGACATTGCATGTGAGGGCGGGGTCAAGAGGGAACAATGGCGGTTGCTCCGTTCTCTGTGGGACCTCAGTCCCTTCTCTGGGTTCCTGGGTTGCACACTCTGCCCTGCCCCACAATCGCAGCCTCACTGGGTCTGCCGCTGCAGCTTGCGTACTCAGGGTCCACCCACTTCGATCTTGCACGCCCCAGATGCCTATGTGCCCCTGGATGCCTTATGCGCCCAACTCTCTCTGCTCTCAGCACTGAGACCTGCTCCTGTCTGCTCGTCTCTGCCCCTCCTACCGGTCTGGATGAACTGGTCTATTTCAACTTCTTGGCTGTCCGACTTCCATTCAGATAAATTTTCTGTCAGTTCTGGATGTTATTCTGCCTCTAAATTGTTGTTGTTCCAATCTTGGTTGTGCATGGAGGTATGCTGCATCCACCTATGCCTCCATCTTGCCGGAAGTCCTTTTTTTTTTTTCTATATTGAGGATTCTCACTGGGAAGGTCATGGAGGGTGGAGGTGTGGGAACTACTAGCTGCCATCTTTAGGATGCAGGTTGACGGCAGTGTCCTCACGACCAGGAAGACCTTAAGAACAGAACAATTCAAAGGACACACTTAACCTATCATAACTGCCTATCTCCCTGAGAAGAAACACACAGTAAATTACAAATTGTATCTCAGATAAGATTCAAAATAATATGAAAGATGCTGAAGATAAAAGTACTTGCTGAGTATGGGTTCAGGCACAAAGTTACTTGACACTATCAAGGCCCCGGATTGTTCAACTTGACCTCTGTGACTACAAAGGACTCAAAGCTCTCCCAGGAGATAAGCCTTCTGAGGCCATTGGAGTCACTGCCAGAAAAGAAAGCCCCACGAGAAAGGGACCTGGTCTGTCTTGTTCACAGCCAGGATGCATTACTATGTTCAGCTTTTTAAAACACAGGTTTCCAGCCCTAGCTGGTATAGCTCAGAGGATTGAGTGTGGGCCGTGAACTAAAGGGTCACTGGTTCAATTCCCAGTCAGAGCATATGCCTGGGTTGCGGGCCGGGTCCCCAGTGGGGGCCATGTGAGAGGCAACCACACATTGATGTTTATCTCTCTCTCTTTCTCCTTCCCTTCCTCTCTCTCTAAAAATAAAAAAGAAATAAAGATATTTAAACACAATAAAACACAGGTTTCCAAATGCTAAATTTTTTTGACTAGTTTGTATAACTCCTGCTATGCATCCCTTAAATGGTCTCCCCCAACTCCAGGCCGTTCTTGGTCCTGGGTGCTCCTGAGGGGCATTCCTGGGCAGAGGCATAACACTTGGCAGAGGAGAGCACCTACAGACCCACAGGACACTGCTGCACCACACCCGTGCCATTCTGATAGCTACTCAAATGACACAGCCTGCTATGCGTCCTAAAAATCGGCCCTGCACCTCCCTGTTCTGCATACCTCTGCACACAGAGCAGTGTCCGCACACCCCGGCTGCTCAGGAAATTTTCTGAGTAAATTAATGATGAAATGACCTATTTACTTTCCTTATTTTGTATTTTTATACTTACACATTTTCTCAGAAATGTTGCCATTTGCTAATTCAATACCAAAATACCAAATATCTGCACTGGTATTATCCACATTTCCAATGCCATTCATCAAGACGAACCCAACCCATTGTCTACTATGCAGCAAAAATCCTCCTGGGCCCTAGAGGGATGCCCCAGCAACCTGAGTGAGCTGGCGATGGTTTGGACTTCTTCCTGAAAGCACAGATCCCATAAATAATTCACAAATACATGAGAAAAGGGGACGCCAAAGAGATTAAATGACTCATAAGTATACTGCTCTTTGGGCTCAACTTGACTTCTTTTTTGCTTTGGTCACAGGGTCTAAAAGTTATTTTTATGACCAGCTACATACATAAAAGTAGATACACCCATATGACAGATTGCAGAGGCTTGAGGAAATCTCTAGAAAGACATATAGAATCCAAACACCAAATAACTTACACTCATTGCCTACCCACTATGTGCCACTCACTGTGTGAGCCACATACACACAGTCCAGAAGCATCCACGAGTAAATACTAGCCTTTGACCCATCTTATAGTCGGCAGAGCTAAGTTGTGGGGAGGTGAAATAATTTGTCCAAAGCTACAGAGCTGATAAGTGACAAGGAGAAAATACAACCACCTGTCTTTTTATCTCTAGAGTTCACATGGTAAGCACTGCACCATCTACCTTGTGAAGTTACGTAGCTTCTCTGAGATCACAAATTATATGCTAGCATATATAACTGAATATTTAACAGAATATTTAAAC